CCCTGGATCATGAATAAATTTAACTTCAGTCAACATTTACTTACTGAGTTTAACTGGTGTAAAAGTCAAATTATATAATATAAATGTTATTCCAAAGTACATGTCTCTGCAAATTTTGAGATGTTTGAAATTATAAAAAGTAGTTGAAGCCTGTGTCATGATACTGGAGCCAGGACAATGAAGTGAAAGACATCATCAGCGTATTGACCATTACATTGTAAATGGAGAGCAACAAAGGATACATCAAACAGAACAACATTTATTAGGAACTGATTAAGCAATATAACATAAAAAGGACACTAACAGGACCCTACAAGGGAGATATTTAAACATCCCCAGGACAGCTACCAACAGGTAATAGGGACAATTACAGTAAAAACATCATCAAATTAACATTTTTTTCAAGGACATCATCAGGACAACCGATGGACATCAGGAGAAACCCAAGTAGAAATAGAGTTTATAACAACCTCCAGGGAAGGAAATTATAACTTTCAAAAAAGGGCATTTTTAAGAACCAGAGAGTCACTACAAGGGCAACAATATCATTACAACAGCTAGATAAAAATATCATGAGAACAAAGAGTCAAAACCAGCAGATAAAGTTTAAATAGTGCAAAGGTTTGCTTGATTGATTAACGTCCCTTTCGAGATTATTTCACTCATATTTAGACGCCACCACTTGCTAGCAGAGGGCTGCAAATTTTAGACTAATGTTCAGCATTTAGGGCCATTGAGTAGTGATGGATCTTTTTTCTGCTAGCACCTACTGCGACACTGGACTTCTGTTTATGTCTAATCCAAAGGACCAGTCTTCACGTCCCACAGTGGGAATCGAACCTGGATCATCTCCTTACTCTGTGACTCTAGAGCAAACACGCCAACCACTGTACCATGGGGGCGACGTGGAACAGTGCATAATATAAATAGAATCAAAATGTATCAACAAAAAGCTATTCTCAGCAAATTTAGTTTAAGGTCACCGTCAATAAGCATTTTGGAGATTTTTGAAGTTTTAGCAAGTCTGTCTATCTCATGATACTTGGGCCAGATAAAAATTAAGTAGACTTCAGCAGAATAGACACCTAATCAGACAATCAGATGAAGAACATTTAGGGAGACTGATGTCAAACAGAACAACAATCAGGGAAACACACTATATAGGAACTCACTTTGCATTACAAAAAGGGACAATTAGATTAAAATCAGATCCTTTGATCCGCTCATATAGATCGCTACACAGATAGACATCATCAGGGCCCAGCTGAAGTAATATTTAAGCAACTACAAACTAATCCCCAGAACAGCTACCAATATTGGCGCAAGTGATAGTAAATATATCATTAAGATATACTCATTTCAAAGACGTCATCAAGACAACAACCAGCAGGATATCAGGATGGACAATAACCAGAGGATGGACATCAGGAGACACTGAAGTAGAAAGGAACATCATGGGGACAACCATCAAAAAGGGCAGAATAAGTAAAACCAGAGAATCACTACAAGGACAACAATAAAGAAAAGACAACATTAATACAAACACTAGATAAGAAGATCAATAGAACAATGAGCAGAGTGGCTTAATCAGGTTAACTGAGGGGAAGGACATCATTAGCAGAACTGCTACTAGAAGATGTACTTTAGAAGGACAACAACAGCGGAGATGCCAGGGAGATCAACCAGAAGATGAACACACTTTGGACTCATAGGAATAGACATCAGAAGGGCCATTAAGAGAGGATACTGCAATGATGACTATTAAGGACAGGTAATAAAAATGACTAGATAGTCATTTCATTGGCCACAACAAGGATATTACATCAGTAACACAAATAGGAACTGACATCATCAGAAAACCGACAGGGAGAAAACGACTAGAAACTCATCATAAAGATAAGTATCATAACTTCTATGCAGGGACATCACAAGATCAAATGTCAGGAGATGTCAGGAAAAGCGACACCCAGGAAAAGTGACACTCAGGAGATGGATATCATGAGAGATCTTTAGAAATATCATCGAGAGGACCATTATGGAAGAATAGCACATACAGAACTACCAAGGAAGAGGATAATAGGAACAACCAGCGAATTATTACAAAGACGATAGTAAGGTACGGATGCTATTAAAACCATAGCCAGAAAAAGACATATCCAGGACAATCACATGGGAGGCTTCATTAAACAAACTTCAATCTCAACATTAGGGAAGGTTGATTATGAAAACATGTTGATTAGGAAAACCTTCACAAGAATATAACCAAGGGGACTTAAGAAGAAAAACAAGAAGGAAGGATGAATATCGTGAGGAACTCACAGGAAATGATACCATCAGAAGAACCACCATTGAGGCATAATTGAATAATACCTATAAAGAAGGCCATCATAAAGACAAAAGGGGATCAATCAAAAGGAACATCAGCACCATAACTATCAAAAAATATCACCAGGACAACAGCAAGGACAGCAAATAGGGAATGCTATCACAAGAACAAATAGAAAAACGGATGAAAAAAGAAACAAGTGAGTGACTACAAAAGCAACAATAAGGAAGAACATTATGAGAAACAATTATACATATGTAATTAGGATAACAAAGAAGGTATTTCAAGGGATATAACAAGGAAAAGAAATGATCAGCACCACAGTTTAGGAATGATATTGTCAGGACACTGCCAGAAAGACATCATTGATACATCTAGAAACTCATCATCAAGACAACTATCATCAGCTTATATTTAGGACAACTAAAATGATAATACAAACTACAAAGCAGGGACATTACGAGGACAAAAACCAGGAAGATATCAGGTAGGACACCAGGGGAAAACATCATGAGAAATATGTCAGAAACATCGTGATGTCCAAGAAGGAAAGGATATCAGAAGATCAATAAAAAAAGCACTCAAGGGTCAGCCAAGCGATTACCACAAAGACAACAATAAGATAATAATACCATCAGAACAGCATCCATGAGAAGGCATCATCAGGACAACAATCAGGCTAACATCAGAAAGGCCAACCACCAGAGGATGGACATCAGGAGAAACTCAAGTAGAAATGAATATCATCAGGACAACCATAGAAAGTGGGCATCATACTGAAAACGAGAGTCACCACAAAGGCCACAATAAGGAAAGATCACAATTGGTACAACAACTAGATGAGATCATCAGGGCAATGTCTAGGGTGACAATAATCAGGACATGTGAAGGGAAGGACATAACCATGATAACTGCTTAGCTACAACTTCTGAAAGTCAACTTTTTGTGAGTTGTCAGGAAGAACTAGCACAGGATAGAGAATATTTGGACTCAAAAAGGAGTAGACATCATGAGGACTACCAGGGAAGAATATACTGGTAACAAGAACAACTACCAAGGACAATTATAATAAGGAAAACCAAAAAGTCATTGCATGAGATATAACGAGTAAAGGACACCTTGAGACATCAATAATGACATCATCATGACACTGCCTGGGAGACATTTATACATCTACAAACACATTGTCAAGATAACTACCAGCAGCTTATCTTATGGACGACTAAAAAGACAACTTAGCAGCGACATCATGAAGGCATCAAGCAGGGAGAAATCAGTTAGTACAAGAACCAGGGAAAGAACATAATTAGAAGCAATAATGATCAAAACAACCAAGAACTTAATACATCATCATGGCAACTACCAGCAGCTTATCTTTAGGAAAACTGAACTAATAATACTATGCAAGAACATCACAAGGACAACAACCAGGGAGATATCAGGAAGGCCAAGAATCAGGGGAAGAAAGTTATTAGAAACACATCAGAAAAATTATGATGGCCAACAATATAAAAAAAGCACACAAGGGACAACAGAAATAACTTCAAGGAAAACATTAAAATAGTGATACTATCAACATAGCAACCTAGAGAAGACATCATCCGGACAACAGTCAGGCCAATATCAGAAAGGACAACAACCAGAGGATGGACATCAGGAGAAACTCAAGTAGAAATGAATATCATCAGAACAACTGTATACAGTATGGGAAGGACACAATCGGTACAACTACTAGATAATATATCATCAGGCCAATGACTAGGATAAAGATAATCAGGACAAGTGAAGGGAAGGTCATCATCATGATACTGCTCAGCCAAAACTTAAGAAGGTTAACAGTTGGTGAGATGTGAAAAAGGACAAACACAGGACTTCAGAATGACACTTTCATGACATTTGCTGGGAGACATCATTTATACAGCTACAAACACATATTTGAGACAACTACCAGCAGCTTATCTTTAGGATGACTAAGATGACAACTATTTAGCCAGGACATCTCAAAGATAACAAGCACTGGGGTATAAAGAAGGAATTACTAGTAATAAGGAATGGCATCATTAGGTCACTGCAATGAAAACGATAATCATGACAAAAGAAGGGAAGGATATCACCATAACTGCACAGCTAAAACTTCAGAAGGTTAACATTTGGTGAGATGTGATAAAGGACAAACACAGTATGAAGAATATTTGGACTTGAGAAGGAAGAAACATCAGGGGGACCTCCAGGGAAGGATATAAAAGGAACAACTATCAAGGATAATTATAATAAGAACAACCAAAAAGGTCATTTTATGAGATTTAACGAGGAAAAAACACTGTGGGACAACAGCAATGACATCATCATGACATTGCCTGGGAAACATCATTGATACAGGTACAAACACATATTCAATACAACTACCAGCAGCTCATCTTTAGGATGAGTGAAATGACAACAACATAGCAGGGAAATCAGAAAAGCATCAACTAACCATCAACCAGGGATGTATCTGGTAAGACAAGAACCATTAGTAGATTATTAGAAACACTTATAATTTGGAGAAGCAAGAAGTTATTTCATGGCTTATAACAAGGTAGGGACATTAACAGCACCACATATAAGGAATTACATCATCAGGACACTGCCAGGGAGACATCATTGACACAGCTACAAACTCATCATCAAGGCAACTACCAGCAGCTTATCCTTAAGACTACTGAAATGATAATACTAAGCAGGAACTTCACGAGGACAACAACCAGGGAGATATCAGGAAGGCCAAGAATCAACACACGAAAGTCATTAGAAACACATTAGAATATTATGATGGCCACCAGGGAAGGATTTCAGATGAAAAATCAAGAAAAAAAGCACTCAAAGAACAGCCAAAAACAACTACAAGTACAACATATGGGTTAAGATACTTTCAACACAAATGCAGGGGAAAACATCATCAGGACAATAATCAGGCTAATATCAGAAAGGCCAACAACCAGAGGATGGACATCAGAGGAAACTCAAGAAGAAAAGAACAACGTCAGAACAACTGTATACAGTATGGGAAGAACACAATTGGTACAACTACTAGATAATATATCATCAGGCCAATGACTAGGATAAAGATAATCAGGACAAGTGAAGGAAAGGACATCACCATGAAAACTGCACAGCCAAAACTTAAGAAGGTCAATATTTGGTGAGATGTGAAAAAGGACAAACATAGGATTGAGAACATTTGGACTCAAGAAGGAATAGACATCAGGAGGACTACCAGTGAAGGATGTAACAGGAACAACTACCTAAGAAAATTATAATTAGGACAACCAAAAAATCATTACATGAGATACTACGAGGAAAGGACATCATGGGACATCAGCAATGACATCATCATGACACTTCTTAGGAGACATCATTGATACAGCTACAAACACATATTCAAGACAACTACCAGCAGCTTATCTTTAGGATGACTACGATGACAAATACTTAGCCAGGACATCTAAAAAATATACAACCAGAGAGATATTAGGTAGGAAAAGAACCAGGGGAAGAACAAGAGACATTGTAATGGTTACTAGAAAAGGATATCACAAAAACAAACAAGGAAGAGCATTAAAGGGACAGCCAAGATAACACTACAAGGACAACAGCTAAGGAGCGATGCCATCAACACAGCTGTCAGGAGATTATGTCATCAGGACAAAGACAAGGGATGTATTAAAACAATTAAAAACTCATCTTCAGTGAGTGATACCTACAAGACTAATTGATTCTTTGTAGTTTTACGTCCCTTGCAAGATTATTTCACTCTAGACGTCACCGCATGCCACTGAAGGGCTTCAAATTTAGACCTTTACTCTGCACTTGCTGCCATAAAGTAATGAGTGTTCTATAGTGTGCAAACGCCTGCTGTGATACAGTGCCTCGGTTTAATGCCTCATTCAAAAGACCGACAGATTTCACTTCAAAGGGCCGAGCGCTTAGTGAAGGAACAGTTGCTACTTATTTTAGGATACCATGATGAGGATCATCTGTTAGGGATACAAGAAGAATACCTACAAGGGGACATCATTAGAACTGAAGGAAGGATATCTTTAGGAAAGCTGAAAGTAAGGACTGTGGAAGGACCCGAGTAGGAATGGACATCTAGGAGGACCAGCAGGAAAGGATATTTCAAGAACAACTACAGGATGGACAGGTAAAAAAGAAAAGAGACATCAGGCCCCGGAGCTATTTAACTAAGATGAGCTCACTTCTGATCTCGGTCACTTCTACCAAAGGAATATATACATGTAGTGGAAAAGTGAGACTGAGATCAAAAGTGAGCTCATCTAAGTTTTATGGCCCCGGGGCCAGGAAAAAGCAACAAAGAGGGGCGAACATCATGAGGAACTTAATAAAGAAAGGATACCATGAGAAGGTCATCTGAGGATATAAAATAGCATTATAAGGACAACAAAGGAAATCACTACAAGGACAACAGTAATGCAAACAGTACTGCATTATGGAAAGGATATTATCAAGGCAACCTCCGGGAAGGCATCACTAAAACAACTACAAACTCTTTGTCAGTGAAGGATATCTACAGAATATTTATATTATAAAGTACATCACATAGACAACAAGAAGGATACCTTAAAAGGAAAGGATACCATGAGAAAGATAATCATGAAGGATATGAAATATCTAACGAAGAAGGGCATCATAAGGACAAAGGTTTGTAAATAAGCAACATAAAAAAAGACTCGTTCAGCATCTCAAGCAAAAAAAAATGACAAAGAGATAATCATAATAGCATTTTTTTCAAGGTCATCTTCATGACAACTACCAAAAATAGGAAAGACAACAACTAGGCATGATGAAATCAATCCGGAATGGATATCAAAACAACCAATAAGAACAGCCATTGAATCACTATGATGCCAACAGTAAGGAAAAATACTCGGATAAGATCATCCGAACAGTGGCAAGGGGACTTTATAAGGACAATTGAAGCAAAGGACATCACTAACTGCTAAGCAAGGACTTGGAAGGACACCACCTAGGAAGATGCCAGGGAGGACCACCACAGGATGGACATCATTTGGCTGCGAGTAGGAATAGACATTAGGAGAACCATAAAGGAAGGATATTAAAAGAACATCTATTGAGGACCGATAAAATCAGGAAGCCCAGAGATTTAATTCGAGGACCACAACAAGGATAAGGCACATCAGTACTACAATTAGGAGCTAGCATCATTGGGACATTGAGAGGGAGACTTCATATAAACATTTACATGCTACAACCAGGAAAACTACTAGCAGCTCAGATAACTACTTGCCAAGGACATCAAGAGGACAAAATCTAGGGAGGTCAGGAAGAGCAATAACTAGGGGATGAACATCATCAGGATGGACATCAGGGAAACATAACACAGAGAACTTCGAAAGAAGAAAATTACAGGGACAACCAGGGAATCTAAAGGGACAACAGTGAGGTAAAGATGCCATCAATGCGACATTCAAGAGAGAATATCATCGAGACAACCATCAGGGAGACATCATTAAAACAACAACAAACTCATCTTCAGTGAAGGATATTTACAGGGTAACAAAATCCATTATGTGAACAACAACCAAGGAGACATAAAAAACATCAACCAGGGTGAACGTTATGACGAATTCGAGTAGGAAAGGATACTATCAAGAGGACAACAATGAAGGATTTAGGATTTAGATTCTACCATAGAAAAGGCAAGCAAAAAGTCATTTAAAAGCAAAAATGGACATCATGAGAAACATCACGAGAAAGTCAAGTAGGAATCAAGACAACCAAATGGAAAGGATATCAAAAAAACACCAAGAAAAAATGGCTTCGGTGGGAACACATCATACAAAAAAGCAACCATGGATGGACATTCATTAGGAATCATATAACAAGTGTATCGCCACTCAGGGGAAGGAATTCATCATGACAACAACAACGAACCAATGAACGACCATATCAGAACAGTGAATGATCAAGACAAAAACAAGATTCTTGTAAAAGGAGATCAAATTTCAGGACAGAAAGGTGTGTCAGAAATCTGCATGGGAGACATCAGCATAATTTCCAGATTTCCATCAGCATAACCATGGGGAAGAGCATTGTCAGGATGATACTAATTAAAGGCAATAACCAGGAAATGATATCATGAAGTTAGGACATCAGCTGGACAGCTAGAGTAATGGGATATTAACTTCAGAATATTAATCAATAAAGGACTTTTTCTCACAGCTGAGAAAATTAATGAGACATAATTTAAAAAAAAAATAACCAGACAGCCATCATAAGGAAAAAATTTAGAAAGATATGTGTGCAGCAAACCTAAAGGAGGAAAAAAACAGGCCGGAGAAGGGAAGGACATCATGAGAACAACTCTCAGGGAGTTGCCATGAGGACAATAATTATCACCAGGAAACCACATCAAAAGGACTGCAAACAGGAAAAGATATCACCTGAATAACTTTTGGTAAACAAGCACAAATACAAAGGCCCATAAGGCTACTGTCAAAGAAGATCGTCATGACGACTATAACAGGCACTTCATTAGGGTAATAACAAAGAAAAGAAGTCAACATGGCACTTAGAGGACATCATATGGATAACTACCAGGGAGCATTAATGCAAATTATCAATTTCTCTCGAGATGTCATCTGGACAGTAAACTGTTCATCACCATGAAATACATCATCTGGATAGCCACAAGAGGGTAGGACAACCATCATAAACAAATCCTGTAAACAGACAAAAAAAAAACATTGTCTGGGTAAATATGAACCAGTCACAGCCAGAATAATTATCAGAGACATTTTATCAGCATAGCAAGAAGATTGTTTACAGTTACGTAACATTGGTCGAGCTATAATGGAAGAAGAGTTTTCTAATGGTCATCTGTTTGATATTTTTTACAAGTAAGCAGTTTGTTTTTGTCATTTTTTTTATCACGTATTTCTTTTTCAGTTAATAAGAGTATCTGCTGAATGTATTTTAAGATAAGATTTTAAATATATATTTTGGTATAAACATTTAAATAATCTTAAGATATAATTGTTCTTAATGTCTTATCATTTAACAGGTGACTGTGGAATGTTAATCTGAAGTACGACCAACAAGAATGTTTTTGTCAGATGTTTTATTGATAAAATAAAAGGTTTAGTTTAAAAGTGTGTATTTTGTAGATTTTTTGTTAAAAATGGAAGAAATTTGAATCCGTCCATCCATCATTCTGTCGGTCTTTAATACAAATTTCTAGATCCCACCGCTGATGTTTTAGAGGTCCGTGTTTGCTCTGCTCCTGATTTGTATTGTTTGAATGGACTTTTGAGCTTGAATACTGTTTATTATCTCCGTCTTTAATTTAATCAATAATGATATCTCCAAAAGTCCTTTACTAATATTTGCACATAATGGTTTTCAGATAATGATTTACTTCTTTGAGCGTTTGCAATGAAATTTTTTTAAGGTAAAAAATTCATGTATGATACACTTAAGTTTTCGGATGATATATATTTTTAGCATTAGCATTAAAAGTAGGTATGACTTATTGATTTAGAGGTCAAAGGTAGAGGTGGTCAAATGTTTGACAAAGTCTCACTCACTACCCTCCGCTTGTTTATGAATTTTGTTTCTTACCTTGTATATTTTTAGTATACTGTAATTGGCCAATCTCTAAACCTGAGAATGCAATCTGCTTGCATAAAACGAAATATGGGTGTGAATGATGAGGAAGTCTCATATTTTTGAGAAATTATAGGCTCTTATTATTTTTTTTTGGGGGGGGGGGGGTATCCACACTTTAGGTGCCTGTGGTCGAGTTAACGCGGTTGTTTATTATTCTGCACATTAAATTTAAAGTTAAATTACAAAATATATTCTGATAAATTAACGAATATTCTTGAAAACTAGATTACAAGTCAATCAATAGTTTATTTGGACTTTCAGCAGACTTTGGCATGCTTATATTTCACCAAATTGTTAAACAGTGACTTAAATTGTATATTAATTTCATATTAGAACAAAAGTAAGCATCATAGGCATTCCCCAGCTTAATTGTTGAAAAATATTTATCTACTATACTATAAACATAACGTTATGTTTATAGTATAGTAGATATATATTTTTAACAATTTTAAGCTGGGGAGTACCTATGGTAAGCATGAAGAAATCTATTTTTAAAAAAATTATCGAGTTTCAGTGTTTTCTAAGCTCATAAAGTTAACCAAATTTGACTCCGTTGTTGAAATATTTGTAGAGATGGTGTCGGATGACTTCCGTACAAAATACGATGCTTGATCTTTGAATTTTTTAAAACAATAACCTGATAAGAAATGGTTTGGGGGAAACAGTGTACAGGTCATGTAATTGTTTATTAAGAAAAATTAAATTTTAGAAAGTTAGCCGGGTCCGTTTGCCCTTTCTACCTGATCACATGAGTCGCCCTGAACCCCATTCGCCATACTAGTATATCCCGTTATGAAGTGTGGATCATAACCCCCACACCCCCTTCCCTAAATATCTTTTTTTTTTAAATTAGTAAGAGCTTATAATTTCTCAAATATATTTCTCCGTCAATCACATCCCTTTGACATGCTATGCAAGCAGATTGTACTTTTTCATACGTTTAGAGATTTGCCATGTACTGTATAATAAAGATGCACAAGGTAAGAAAAAAAAAACGGGGAGGGGCTGCTTCAAGACAAATTTCCAAGGTAATAACAGTGTTACCTATCATATTTTTGTAAGCACTCTGTCGGGGAGATGTTCTCCTACTAGTCTCGTTAATCTGACCCAATGTAGGTTTTCTATATGCCGTAATCGGACGGATTTTTAATCAGATGCATAAAATTTTCTCCTTTTTGGCAGTGATATAGGAGGTTTTTGTAGTATCGCTTCGTTTCGCTTCATCTGATTGGTTGAGACTTGTACATTATGAATTATTAAGTAATCTGATCGGTGTAGATCAGAAACTCCTTTAAAGCTGTCAATGAAGAAAATGTTATAAATGTATCCAATTAATAAATCGCCCGATTTATAGTAATACGGTTTAAAAAAAACACCAAAGATGGGGTTTAGGTTAAAGAGAGTAGTGGGAGAACATCTCCCTGACAGAGTGCTTGCAAAAGTATGATAAGTAATAATATTAAACTTACATGTAAATTAGTTGAATCTGATTCGTCGAGAAACATTTGTTAAAAAACACTATTACCCGCTGAATGATGAACCCACGCCCTCCAGCGTGGCAACAGTCAACATTGCTTGACGACGGGTGATATTCCAAAAAATAGTGACTGCGCAGAATTTATGTGCGCAAGGTACACTGTTATATGTATTTGTATAAACTATCCAGCATAATATAATAGATATTGCATGTAGTTGAGTGTAACATTGAAAATTTTCACCCCAAGGCTGCGCCTCGGTTGACAATGGTTTTCTTGGGGTGAAAATTTTTAATGTTACACTCAACTACATGCAATTTTATATACTATGAGTATTGCCTTGGAAATATGTGTCGTTTATAAATTTTGTTTTTATACCCACACACCAAGATCAAACGTCGTATTTTGTACGGAGGTCATCTGACAACTTTCCCTCTATATAATCTCTTCTACAAATATTTAATTCAATATATACACACTGAAAAAAAAATCATTCATAGTCAATTATCATGTGTCATGTTGGCAATTAAAAAATATATGCCAAAAATATATCAAAGCACAGCAATTTATAGTGAAAAAAAAAATTTTCTCAAGGGTAGAAATATTTCACAATCTAATTAAAAATATACGTTAGATCCGCTCGCATACTCGCTACACTGTAGCGAGTATGCGAGCGGATCTAACATCTAATTTTAATTAGATTGAGGTATTTCACTACCCAACGTTTTCATTATTGTCAGTATTTTCAGCAGCACGGGTAGGAATTGCAGGCTTAAGTACATCAATTTTTTGAGAACCCCTAATAAGAGTAGAGAGGACAGACTAGCCCTCACTACGACCCCCTACCCAATCAACTACAAATAAACGATGAAGTCGGGGTCTTGAAGTAAAAAAAAACTTAAATTGTATCCATTAACAAATGTCAAATTTATCCACTACCGTATTCATGCATGATATTTTTATCATTAATTGACTCTTAGTTGCTAAATGGACGTGATAAAATCTTGGTAATTGAATACTATAGATTAACCTCAACGTCTGTAATTGTGTTGAGAAAATATTTGTTAGTTTGCTCGGGGAAAAGTATGAGACTTTTAATTATTCATTGCCACCAAGATATCGACTCCTGGGTACATATGGACATAATCAGCTTTTTATAACTGTAAGGGGTCAATATCTTCAAGAACGAGATTTTCCTCCAAAGGTGGGTAAATAATTGTTTTATTATATATGATTTAGTTTAAACAAATACAATTTAAATTCACGTCTGTATAACATTTCTAATATTAATATGATAAAGATTGAATTCTCACAAAGAAGGACTCATTTTGTTCCTGGAAAGGCATATATATATATATATATATATATATATATATATATATATATATATATATATATATATATATATATATATATGGGGGCACAGGCGTAAAATGATTTGAGTGAGACATAATTTTAATTGTGAATGCTTGAAAAAAAAATCGGTGTTAAATGCTCCAAACCGGCTATATTGGAATAATCCTTATTATGGTAATGATGTTAACATGGTATTTCTCTGGTACAGAAAACAAAATGTATCAATACATTGTATCTACATTTATAAAACAACGATTGAGGCCATACAGTCAAAAATCAAGGTCAACATAATTAATTTTTCTATGAACATTCTTTAAACGTATTTGAGCCCAGATCTTAAGTTACAGACTTAACAGTTTTCAATAATAAAATATATACTAGTACTGGCAAATCATTAAAGGGGGGCTCCCCCTCCCCTCCCACGTGCCCCTTGGTTCCCATGCACGGGCCTGGCATATGTTTATTCATCCGATTAACGATTGGTATTGACAGAGACCACTAGCCACTAGCTACAAAGTCATAGTGAATTTCACATAGTAATTCTTGACTATGATTCTGTTAAATATATCACAATGAATGTTGGCTTTATCTAAGTAATCGCAGTTGTTTGAAAACCAATAGTTTTGTCACAAGTTTTGTCGTATTGTTTCAGAGTGATGGTGTGGATAAGAAGAAAACACACTTTCCTGTTGAAGCTGACTTTTTACGTTTCTTATTTGTCGCTTGCAATTTACATTTTCCAAAATCTGTTCCAAGCATATACCTTAAAAGAACAGTACAAAACTGAGAATTTGCAGAGTGGAAGTTTCAAAAGTTTTCCGTTAAAAACTAAATCTATTTCTGTTGGTTATGCATTTCTCTTACATAGAGAAGAGAGGATGAGAAAAAACAATTATGAAGATTTAATTATACAAGATAAAAAGACGCCGATTTATCACCATTATCCGTTAAATGTCGACATGAAAGGGATTTTAGAAAAGATCAAAAAGAGGGAACCAGTGTCGCTGACTGTTATTAATCCTCATCCCTTTTCTTATATCATTAATCCAGAAAAAACTTGTCTGTCTTCGAAAATCTCTTTGGTGATCCTCGTAAAATCAGCAGCTTCTCATATGGAAAACCGTGATGCCATCCGAAAGACTTGGGGAAATATTACGGATCCAGCTATAAGAATTGTTTTTCTAATAGGTTCTTCTAAGTTTAATCCCCTTATTATGAGAGAAAATGCTTTCCATCATGATATAATACAGGAAGATTTTCAGGACGTTTACAGAAATAATACATACAAGACAATAATGGCTTTCAAATGGGCAACAACATACTGCTCCGGAGCTCGCTATCTTCTCTTTGTCGATGACGACTTTTATGTGAACCTTCCAAATTTGCGTTTCTTTTTACAAAAGTTTATGAGTAACGTTTCTCTGCTCTCGGGGTATGTTTTGCCCATGTCTGAGCCTTTCCGTGACAAATCCAGTAAATGGTACGTTTCTTTTGACGATTATCCATTCCAGAGATATCCGCCCTATTTGGCAGGTGGTGCTATAATAGCATCTATGGATGTTGCACAACAGATGGCTACAGTTTTCCCGTACGTAAAATACTTGGTTATTGACGATGCATATTTAGGCATTGTTGCTTACAAACTTGGGATACATATTTCACACAATCGACAAATTACAGACAAGCACTGTCAAGACTGGCGCTTACGCTCAAAGATTGCTTGTCATGGATTTGGTAATGCTAGTGTTCTGCTCCAAACCTGGATTCGTTTGAAAGATGTTACAACCCAAACTGGAAATTAAGACAGGAAAATCTGTATGAATTTAATATGTCTATAATGATGACACATATGCGGATTATGAATACGTCCTCGCCCTTTAGAATGCATGAACATGTCTAATAAATCATCAGGAATACTTTTAAGATATGTACAGTTAGTATTACATATTATGAGGTTTATCAAGATCCTCAGATCATAAAACATCTTTAAAAGCTGAAGTCAGACTATACATTTAGCTGCAGAACTGCAGCTCTCTGCTTGAAAAAATTCGGAAAGATAAAGCATTTATCTGCTTTATCTGTCCGAATTTTCTCAAGCAGAGAGCTACAGTTTTGTACCTAACTCTAATTCTACGCTGCAATTAAGTCAAACAGTCCAAAAGTACATAGCATCAGCAAACTGCTGTTATCTGGAAAAGAGCTTTAGTTTACAATAGATATAAATTCTATAAATGCCAGTGATTGAAATTTTGATTCAAACCTAGTTTCCTGAGCTAGGTTTGAGCAGTCTGCAATTTAAGAAGTGTAGACTGCTTCTGCTAATTTACCGATTTCAGATCAATTTCTTTTTAAATTACAGTAACTGATGCTCTCCAACCTGTGCTCAGTGTATAGGGCCACATCCAGTAAAGAAGCCACATGACCTTGATACAATAAACACGTTCTTTACTGAAGAACTATGTTCTGCCGTTTCCATTTCAAAAATTATAATGGTTGTTCATACATGTTCTTCTAGATACACATCTATTGCATAACACTTGTTAAAATGATAAAGTACTTAAAGGAATTATCGCATGTTTCTAAATTATTTGAAGATAGAAGCGTAAAACGTTCCTTATGACCACAGTTTATAAATTTTGTGTTTTTACTGCGGATAAACCGCGGTAATTAACTAATTAATGACTCAAATGAAAACCCCTGAATTAAAAATCTAAGTTAATTAGATAGCGATCACGTGACCCTGTGACGTCAAAGGCGACAATGGCTGATCAGCTCTTCACGTAATCTTACTAAAATATACAAGATACAAGCTGTATTTTCTGCGTTATGGACGACCAAATCACTGATTTTATCGACATGAAATTTAATATCCAACCTTATATTTTAGAATTGTCAGCAAGAAATAATCTGAAAAATCCGTTAACATTGTAAAAATAACAATTAAATCATTACAGAAAATGTACACAGCTTTCTAGGATCTAGAAGAGGTATCCGGAATCCAAAACGATTCCAGATTACACACGCGCGCGCAGATTTTCAAAATATATTTATTATTACTAATACAATATTATTATTATACAATATTATTATTCTACAATATTTATAAAGCGCCTTATATAATAAAAACAATCACTCTAAAGCGCTGTACAACAACGTAAAAATACATTTATAAAAATATAGATGTTGAATGACATGAGATTAAAATTTAGTATTTATAACATTTAAAACAATTAAAATATGAAAAATTTGATGGATATAAGGTTTTAAAATAAGAAAAAATATAAAAACAGTCGAGCAGACAAAATATTATAATAAAATAATAAATTTAAGAGTCACAAATATGTCCTTACATAAATTACCATTTAAAAAAAATATGACAAAATGCACGCTGAAACACTGGGGCAGTTCCATAAAGATAGCTAGATAACGTTTGAATTATAAATAGGCCTATATCTTTATATTTTGATCTACCAGTACAATGTATATGCTTGTTTTGTTTCTTAAAAACAATAAAACTTGTCAACCATTCGGCACATTAGTTACAGTACTAAATTCTTTAATTCAAATGTACAATATCAATATCAATAGGTTGTTTATTTGCGAAATATTTTAGGAAAGGGAATTGTAAGTCTAGGTACAAGTGTACTTTGCGTACTGCTTTCCTCCTCTAGAATAAAAGGTTGCTGTATCCAACAAGAACGAAAATAACGTAATTTATTTTAAACATAAACAGTTCCAAAATTAATTATAAATGTTAAGTAATTATGTAAATGTTTCTCTGTAGAGGTAAGACAAACACATTTCATGTATCCTAAAAATCGATTTAAAAATCTATATTTCTAAAAGTGCAAGGACCAAAAGTAGGTCAACACAAAAAAAAGTTATAATAAGGTAAGAAGTAGTTTTTACTAAATATTAAATCAGTCAGGGTATGGTACAAAACATACAAACATGTCGGTGAAAGTCTTTAGCATACAGTTTACTTTATAAAGAACAAACAACTTGAATGTTCCCTCTATATATATCGTTATGTAAGGACTCCGTTTTTTTTTCAAAAGCTCTTGAAATTTATTGTAATCGTATATTTAACTCGGTCTTTGTATTAGATGATCTCTGACATCTGGCAATGATTCTGCATTCAGACTTTTTTCAGGAATCGCCATATTACTGTCTTTTTTTATTTATTTAATTCAAAAATGTAAATAAAAGTTATGACGTGTTGCCCACTCCAATCTGGCAATTTGGCAAACGAAAAACAACCCAAACTGCTAACTTTGTGGTAGATCAGTCAACTTCGAACAAAACCTGTCTTCATGTTCAGTAGCTATAACAGTTGAACGATACCGCAGTACGAGGCTCTATGTGCTGGAAAGGGGAAGAAAGAAACCAAAAAAGGCCAAAGGAGGTGTGAAGGTTGTCAACTTTGACAGGGTTTTGCCCTGTGACTGTATTCGATCTGGATGTCGTTTTACATGAATTACATACATGTATAAGTACATGTATCTACTAGTCTATCTATCAGTTTCATAATTTGTATTTCTTCTCGAATAATACCATAAGCCCTATATATTGTTCAGGTAGATGTAGTGATTAAATATAAACTATAAAAATAATAGCCTCACAATAGACATGAAGAATGTCAGTCAAAATACGACCCAATGATAGGTTGTACCTGCAAACGATCATTATAACGACCATAATTTTTTTCCGGTCTGAAATTAGAAAGTCACACATTTTGATATTACTGACTTTTGAAAAAATTTGTGATTTTAAATTTTCTAAAAGTTCTTTGAAGTTTTACACCACTCGAGATGCTGTAGCACAGTAGATCTGAAGTTTCTCCTTTACAGCTGTTAATATATATTAAAGTCAGTAACTTCAAATGTTTGATTTTCAACTCTTTACGCCAACATTCCTCAGGATAAATTAAAGATTATCCTTTCTGATATTATAGACAACTCCTTCTTCAATAAAATTGGAACTCGGAAAGGTTGATGTGCCAGACGGTCACCGTCAATCGATGACTGAATTTTACACTAATTTGAAATCGCTTGCACGTAATTCTTGAAATGTTTATCCTCACGGAATACCATTTTTTACTGAAATTAATAACGTCATAATTATATATATTTTAGGTACTAGAGTAAGATACATTGTTTACATGAGGTTGACATGAAACGGATGCTGGAGCTCCCCATTGACAACATTGATGTAGTCTTCGGAGACCAGAGGCCCATTTTACAAAAGAACTTACGTCTAAGACCAAAATTTAATTCCGCTTGTAACTTTTTAACTTACATTATATTAAAAATGGTTTTAATCTTTTTGAAAGGAATGTAGTAAGATATTTTTACGCTAGCAAATTTAAATTTAAACAAAATCATTTATTTTGCAAAATTTTACAACCAATTTATGTTTTCGGTCTTAGTCGTAAGTTCTTTTGTAAAATGGGCCCCAAACAATCTGTTGGAATTTCGATGGGCACTATTTTTCCTCCTTTATTACCTGACCTGTTTTTATAATCCCATAAAGCAGGATTTATTCAAAAACTTCTACATGAAGAAAACTCCTGCTGTGGTTTTCAGCTCAACATTTAGATATATCAACGATGTTTTGTCAATTAACAGTAATTACTTTCATTCATACATGTATGTCGACTCGATATAAAAGACACTACAGAGTCTGCCACACCTGTTTCATGTTTGGATTTTTAGGTCACCTCGTGATCTATTGCTATCTGTTTTCGTCCGTCGTCGTCCGTCGTGCGTCGGTCGTAAACTTTTGAACATTTTTAGCTTCTTCTCTTGAACCACTGAACCAATTTCAACCAATTTTGGCATATAGCATCAACGGGTGAAGTACAAAAATTGTGAATTTCATGGTCTCTGCCCCCCTGGGGCCTGAGGGGTGGGGCTAAAACCATCAAAATTAGTGTTATCTTTAAAAATCTTCTTCTTTACTCCTGGACATCAAGCAGTCAAACTGTTGGCATGATTGTAATAAGCATTGAGCCCTCTACCAAAATTGTGAAATTCATGGCCCCAGGGTCAGGGGTTCTGGTGCTAGGGTGGGGCTATATAGATCATATAGTGAAAGTGCATTATTTCTTTGAAAATTTTCTTCTCTTCTCCTGGATATTATTTAAACAAACTAAGTGCATGGTTATGACAAGCATTGATGCCTTTTCCAAAATTGTGAAATTCATGGCCCCTGGATCAGGGGTTCTGGTGTTAGGGCAGGGCTCTATTGATTATATAGTGAAAATGCATTAATTCTTTGAAAATCTTCTTTTCTGCTCCTGCATGGGTATTATTTAAACAAACTAAGTGCATGATAATGATGCACAAGGATGATTTTTCCAAAATTGTGAAATTCATGGCCTCAGGGTCAGGGGTTCTGGTGTTAGGGTGGGGCTCTATTGATTATATAGTGCAAATGCATTAATTCTTTGAAAATCTTCTTCTCTGCTCCTGGGTATTATTTAAACAAACTAGGTGCATGGTTATGATAAGCATTGATGCCTTTTCCAAAATTGTGAATTTCATGGCCCCTGTGTCAGGGGTTCTGGTGTTAGGGCGGGGCTCTATTGATTATATAGTGAAAATGCATTAATTCTTTGAAAATCTTCTTCTCTGCTCCTGGGTATTATTTAAACAAACCAAGTGTATGATAATGATGCACATGGATGCTTTTTCCAAAATTGTGAAATTCATGGCCCCAGGGTCAGGGGCTCTGGTGCTAGAGCGGGGCTATATAGATCATATAGTGAAAGTGTATTATTTCTTTGAAAAATCTTCTTCTC